GTCACTGATCTGAATTGGATCGTCTGCCCCACCTGTCGACCAATCACAGTTGACAGGAAGAAGAAATATGCTAATTGGTCAGGCAGGGTTCACACATTCCCCTGGAGCCAGTCCTATGGGAGTCACGTGGAGTGCCTCCCAGTGTGCTTGGCTCCCCACTTTGACCACGGCCCCTAGGAAAGTGGCAGATGCCCATCTCAAGTGGTGGCGTGCTTGTTTGTGGAAGGACAGCTGTTGCTTGCACCTCACTCTGTGCACACACTCCTTCCGAGGACTTGTCCAGCCATGCTCTGTGTGCAATGGTTCCACTGAGCTGGGAGCCGTGTTGTGTCTGGTCCAAGGCCACTGACTGAGCAATGGGTGGCAGAATGGGGACTCAGATCTCCTGCTTCCAAATATCCTTCCCTCCTACCCATCATGGGGTCATAGTGAAGTTTCAGATCCCCACAGAGAGGCTCGAAGGTAGAGCAAATCCTTTCCCCAGTGAATAGGGTTGGCTGGAGTTCTGGTTGTGGGGCCTCTGGTGCTCAGAGGAAAACCGAGGTGCTAGTCAGGGGAGGAAGGCAGGCCATGTACCAGTGTCCACCCTGCACTCTGTTCCCACTTCCTCCAGCTTGTGAGACTGAGGCTTGGGGAAGGTGCTGAGCTTTGCCTGTGACACTCTGATCTTTTCTTCAGTGTAAATCTTGTCTCCCTGGTCACTCTGTGAGCTCCTTCATGGGGGACTTAGGTCTTTGGTTGCTCTTTGATTTCTCCTAGGCCCTGGGGCCCCAGGGAACACCCTGCAGGCTCTTTATTTACATGTGTGAGCCCTGTTAAGAGACTAAGGAAGCCTATCCTAGACATTTGAAGCCACTTCCTCTAGCTGAGAAAGTTGGAATTCATGAGCTCTAAAGTTAGGAGCCATTCAGCGACATTTAAGTCCCAAGATGACTATGGGCAGGCATCATTGACAAATACTTAGGGCAGCCTCTCCCTATTTTTAGTTCAAATACTTATAGAACGACATCTGAGTGCATGCACGCCTACTGGCCCACAACTGGGAATCCCACAGCCCGATTCTGCCCAAATAAGGGTGGCAAAGAGTGCCAGTCCCCCATCGAGGGTGGACCCAACAGATGGACAGCTCAGAGAGGCCTGGATGCTGGGGATGGGCTCTCAGCAGATCAGATTCCAAGTGAGATGGGGCAAAGCTAGGCCGTGCCTTAAGCGCTCTCCAAAATAGCTCATCTCAGCTTGTGTAGAGCAGCCCTGCCATCTTCCTCCCCAGGAACTGGGGTGGCTGCCCTCTAGTGTTTCTGGGGGTCCATAAGACAGAGGGCCATCCACTCTTGCAGAGGGCTCCTTGCTGTTGGGAGAGCCACTTACAGAGCAATCTGTGTGATGCAGGCCTGAGATGGGAATAGCAGCTGTGAGGGGGCTGGAGCCCACTATTTTGTCAGGGAGGCACAGAGTACCAGGTCCACATGGGGCACCAGGGAGGAAGCAGAAACTCTAGAATCTAGAGCCCTTAGAGTGGCCTTGTGCAAATTAGGAAAAGCTCCTATGGTCAGTGGCTGATCTGACCACACATGGAAGCTACACAGGTGGAGGCTATGGAAAGCCCCTGCATCTCAGCAAGCCCTCTGGAGGTAGCCCTCTGCCTTCTGCTCTCTGCTTTAGGCAGCAGCAAGGGCTGTGTTCTGGCTCTCTGACCCTACACAGTGTGGACAGTTCAAGGGAGGCAGCCAGCCAGACTCGTGCAGTTGGTGGTAGCAGTCAGAGGGGGTCAAGCCAGATTTGGCCAGAACTTTGCCTATTATGGCCTCAGCAAATCTACAGGTTGGAAGTGGGCCTGCCCCACACAGCCCCACCTCAGCCCCGTGTGACTCTCCTGTGGGTGCCAAGCTTCCCCCTCCTTGCATGAGATCCCGGAGAATTCCTGCAGAAAAAGTGTAGTGCAGCTCCTGCTGGTCCTTGTGGGCTTCCTCCTGGGGTCTCCCACAGATCTAAATGCAGCCAAGACACTCCAGAGACCTCTGGCTGTGATATCCAAGCAGGCCTGCTAGGGCCAGCCATCCTCCAGCTACTTTGCAGAGCCAGGGGACATCAGCCAGTGCTGGAGGCTTGCAGTGGGTCTATGGCCCAGGGGGCCCTCCCCAGCTCATGACCCTAGCAGGAAGCAGGGGCAGGGCCGGCCAGGCTGCTGTCCTGAGCATGCACCCTAAACCAAGGGCTCATGAGTGTGTGGAGTCACAGCTCCAAGCACAGGAGGGCTGCATGGAGGGATTTCCCTCCCTGAGGAGGGGAAAGGCTGCCGCCGAGTGGCCGAGGGGCTGGCTCGCAGGAAGGGCTGGGCCTTTGGCTGTTTTGAGTGCACAGCTGGGTTCTCCGCCCATGTTGGTCTCCCTGCAAGTGACTCAAGGTAGTGGTGGAGTTGGGGTGGTGGTGGGAATTCACTCAGTCCCAAAGTCAGACCCCAGGGAGGAGAGCCTCTTTGGGGTCAGGGATTAGGGGAAGCCTCACAGCTTGGAGGGGACACGGGATGGGACATAGAGGATGGTGTCTAAGGGACTGGCCTCCATTGGGGGCTGAGCTGAGGCTCAGCCAGGGGTCCCAGCCACAGAAAGGGGCAGAAGGAGCCGAGGTTTCAGGGCAACACATTTGGGGAGTGAAGCCGATGAGGAAGGATGCGGGACAGCCTGGCGAGAATGGAAACTGTGATGCTGCTGGGGAGACCAAGGCCAGGATTGGGGCCTTTTGATGTTAGGGTTTTCTCCTCTTCCTTTCTCTTCCCTCCCGTTGATGGTCTGAGTGACTCAAGCACAGCCTGAGTGTGTCTCTTGAGCGTCTCTGTGTGTACCTCTCTGTATTTCTCGCCCTTTCTAACCTGTGTCCTTCTTTCCTCTCTGCTCGGATTTCATCTCAGGCTAGCATGAATTTTCCATGCCAATGCTGCAGATGAGAGCAATGCCTACCAAGGGAGGACCGGAGGGGGAATCAAGCAACATGCTAGCATGGCAGGGGGAGGGTGTGGGGTGAGGCTGCAGCTCAGGGGCCTGGCCCCACCCACTGAGGCCCTGCCCTCTGCTGTCCTCCTGCCTTCTGCCCAGTAAAGACAGAGAGAGATCAGAGGTGTCAGAAAGGGTCCTGTCCCAGGAGAGGGTGAGGACATAGCACACACAGCTCTGGGTTGGGAGCATTAATCTGGAAATGTGCTCCCACCCACTGCCTTCCATTGAATATAAACCTTTGCCCCATGTCCGGAATGATGTTCAACCTAGCTGGAGCAGCAGGACTGATTTAAAGAAATGATAAGACAATGGAATGAAGCTGATTGGGGCTTCAGAGAACAGACAAAATCAGGGTCATATTGTGTGCGATGGTGTCTGTGTGTGTGAGCAGATGTGCTCACATGGGGCTTGTGATCTGTGGGAAAGAGAGAGGAGGTCATTGAATTTCCAAAAATATCTGTGATTAGAACAAAGCTGGGAAATTTTGCTTTAGAAAAAACTTGGGGAAGCTTTATCAGTCTACAAAGTTAGGCTGCCAGAAAAATTCTGAACTCTAGTAGAACAATCCCTCTCTCCACCAAACACACACAGAGCAAAGCTGTCCCTTGCAGAGCTCCAACCTACCATGCCACTCTGGGCATCACTGAATGTGGTCAGCAGACAGGGTTGGGTGGAGGATGTCTTTGCTATGATGCTTCCTCCATCATACCATCTGGTCTTTTCCAGTGAAGTCACCGGCTTCCCTTTGTGAGGAACAGGAGTGGTAGCACTCTCTCCTGCTTTTTCCTGGAAGTTTGAAAGTGAGACTCAGGCTTGGATCTCACCATCTGCCCGTCCCCAGCCCAAGTCCATGCAGCCCCGCGGCTTGATGGTTTTGGTGGTGTTGTATCTGTTAGTTCCTTGGATTCATGTTCGCGTCTGCAGGCCTCCCTGGGCTCTCAGTGCAGACCTGCCGTTTCCCACTTCTCTTGGCACTTGGGTACATTAGCAAGACCACGATGCCTCCCATTCCTCATTTTGTGAATGGCAATAATAACAGTATTTATCTCACAGAGTTGTTGCTGTGAGTATTAAATATCTGTCTCAAAGTAAGTGGCCAATAAATGTGCACATTTCTCTCCAAGGACCTCACGTCTGGATCGCTCTTCTACGGCCCTGTTTGTGAGCAGTGTCTCCTGTCTTAAGGTTTCAAGGCTTGGCTAGAAGAGTGAGGGACCCTTACAGCATGCTCTCTTTCCTTCTTTCCTTCCTTTTTTTTCCTTCCTTCCTTCCTTCCTTCCTTCCTTCCTTCCTTCCTTCCTTCCTTCCTTCCTTCCTTCCTTCCTTCCACCAACGTCTATTAATGCCTCCCGTGGGCCAAGCACTGCATCAAATGCTGGACACTGTATCATGCAGTCCAGGGTGAGATCAGCCAGAAGACGCATTGATGTGTTAATATGTGAGAAGCTTTTAGGATGGTGCCTGGCGCACACTAGTGCCGTGTAAATGTTGCTACATATCGACATGGTCAGTTATGGCGGGCAAGCACCACAGCTGTGGAGCACACTGGGGTCAGCTCACTCAGGTCTGGGGAGTCAGGGAGGAAGTGGCATGGAGCCAACACCAGGTAAAGAAGGAGGGAAAGAAGATGGGGCCAGGCAGAGTGTGTGGCTCCAAGGCAGGAGATGCCCCGGCTGTGTGGGGAACTAGAAGCACCAAAGCCCTGCTGGATTAAGGAGGGCCTTGGGAGCCACAGGGGAGCCTGTGGAGCAAGCTTGGGTCAGAGTGCAGGTCTTGGAAACTGCTGAACAGCTGACTGAACTGCATTGGGTGGAGATGTGTTCCTGGTCTGAGTTTTGAGGGAGCTCTGATGTCTCAGCAAGGCTCCAAGATGCTCCATGGCAATTGGGAGCCCACCTCTGTGCTCCTGGGATACCTGAGGCAGGCTTTCCCAGGCCTCTGAGACTGGGTGGCTAGGACCACAGCCAGCTCTGTTCTAACCAGGCTCTGGGGTTTCTTTCTTTGCAGATGTAGGAGGAGCTCAAGTGCTGGCAACAGGCAAGCCCCCTGGGGCTGAAATCGGTAGGTGGCTGCCCATGTTATTCTGTGCACAGGGTCAGGGGCAGGAAGGAGACTCCCACAACACACAAGCAGAGGGCTGCAGTGCTGGAATTGGTTCCCTGCTGTCAGCATAGGAAAAGGGGCACCTCACCTCCAGGCCCTCCCGAGTGGCTGACAGCTTTATTTTGGGGGGCAACACCTTGCATTAAAGCTCATCCACACAGGAGGCATCATACCTCAGGGCCAGAGATGCGTGACTCCAGCACCCACAGAGCCCTATCCTGCAACCATGGGCCCTGAAAGCACGCTCTGCCAGGCTCACAGCCCTCATCGGTGCCTCCCTCCACCTGCGAGCTTCCAGCCTCTCTGCCCCTTAAGGGCCTCATATGCTGGCCAGGCTCAGTCTGCATGCCTCACCCTCTGAGAAGGCTCTGGATGCCCATGATTCCAAGCCAACCCAGCCTCTCCCGTCATGAGCTCCTTCCCTGCCCTCGCCAGCTGACTGCAGGCTCCTCAAAGGCCAGATAGGCCTTATCCATTCTCCTGCATTGCTCACCATAGAGCAGGCAATTAACACACACCCAATAGATGAGTGGATGAATTAACAAAGGGATTGGTGAGGAAGGGCTAGGAGGCTCAGGCGGCCAGAGAAATGAGCAACTCACCATTTGGGGCAAGTAGCCAGGTGAGCTTCAGGGAGCGTTGAAAGGTGGGAACAATTTCCACAGCTGAAGGAACCAGGGATGGTGCTTCTGAAGGAGGGGATGGGGTGCAGGCAGAGGCTGGGAGCAAAGTGACTCCTGGGAGAGTGGAAGGTGAGGCTGGCCTCAGCCAGTGGGAGATGGCGTGTGTTAAGGGCCACATGCGTGCTTTGGACCTCATCTGGAATGTAGAGGGAGCTGCAGGTGACTGAAACCCGGTGTTCAATTCCTTCCTGAGTTTCAGATTTCAAGTACGCCCTCATCGGGACTGCTGTGGGCATTGCTGTATCTGCCAGCTTCCTGGCCCTGAAGATCTGCATGATCAGGAGGCACTTATTTGACGACGACTCTTCCGACCTGAAAAGCGCACCTGGAGGCCTCAATGGTGAGGGATGCAGTGCTCAGGCCTGGCTCTGCCCGACGAAGCCAGGCACCGAGGGCCACTCTGTGCTGGCTACAGCAAGAACGAACCCACAAGCGCAGAGCCCAACAGGCTGTAAAGGAAGGCAATGACCTCTCCAGGTTTCTGTCTCTCTTACTATGTCTTTGCCTCTGTTTCTCTTTCTTCTGTCTTTCTCTCTCTGTCTATTTGTGTTCCTTTTTCTGTTTCTCTTTCCATCTCTCTGTCTTTCTGTGACTCTTTCCCTCTGTACCTTTCCTTTCTGTTGTTCTTGGCAGTCCTGAGAATCACATTTCCTGGAGAAAGGTGGGAGAGGAACTAAAATTGGCTTCACACAGAAATTTCTGTTCTCTCATCCAAATGATGAGATCAAATAAACCCAGTGCCAGGAGGCAGCGAGGTTGGTCGTAAGTGTGGGTGGATGGTGGGACGTTCTGTTGACTGTGTGGGTCAATATGCACTTTTTTCCATAAATTGGGAAAGTCCTTCTCAAAACAGTACTGAGTAGCCCCTCAGATAGAAACTGAGCTGGCTGATGCGCACCATGGCACAGTCCTCCACCTCCTTGGCACCCAAAATGCAGTGTTGATTTGCATCCCTTCTCTCAGAGTATCACCCCCAAACTCATCCTCTGTTGTATTAGACAGCTCAGTGCAATGATGGTGCAGTTTTCCACGGGGTGCTTCTGGGGAGAACAGAGCCTCACTGTCTTTCTGGAAGATGTGATTATGATCCGTGAAGATAAGCAGAAGGGGCTGGTCTGGGCCAGGAGAGGACGAGGCTTCCCAAGATGCTGGTGTGTGCATCACTCGAGGAGCTTAATAGGCCATGGGAGTTTGCTTATCCTTGTGTATCCCCACAAATAAGGGGAGGAAACAGCCTCTTCATCACATGGCAGCCAGGCCCCGGATCTCTCGAGGGCATCATGAATGAGAGGACCCAGGAGAGGGAGGTGAAAGTTCTAGGGAACGCTCTGCACCTCTTGTCACAGGACCCCCTTCCTAATGCCTGGCTTTCTCTGTTTAGACACCATCCCGCTAAAGAAGAGAGCCCCAAGGTAAGGTCACTGCCCACATAGTCAGGGAGGGGTATCGTGTTCTCTCCTGTCTTGGCCATGCCACTCCCTTGCCTGTCATCCCCAGCCTTCTCTGCGTTCTGGCATGCTTTCTAGGTGACTAGAATGCACCTCATGGCCCCCTCCTTACACTCTCTCCTCCTCTGGACAAGTGGGCAGGTGTCACAAGAGTGAGGGCCACAGGATACAGTCGTCAAAGGAACTAGGGCTTGTCTCTGCACAGCCTGGATTAGATCCTGTTCCACCTCCACTCAGACCCCTTCAGTGCATACCTCTGACACTCAGAATGAGGCCTCCAGCTCCTGTCACTTGGGAGGTCACATGTTCCAGGTTTCCAGGCTTCTCTGCTGGCATCAAGGTACCCTGCTCTTCTGCGCAGAGCCCATGTCCTCAGGGACAGTCCTGCCTCAGGACCTTTGTATTTGCTGTTTTCTGTCATTGGAATGCTCTTTGCCGGAAAGCTGCAAGCCTCGCCTCTCTTTTCATTCAAATCCCTGCTTCAGTGTCACCACTACATCATAGAGGGCCTATTTAAAGTACAATCCCCTCTCGACTCCAGCCACCATTCTCTTCTCTTTGCTTGGCTTCAGTTTTCTTTATAATTCTCTGCACTAGTTGATGCTATATGATATATTGATTTGTCTATTTTGTATGGGTTTCTTTCTAAAATGTAAGCTCCGGGCAGGTAGGGTCTTCCTTTTCACTTCTATAGCCCAGCACTTAGCACAGTGCCAGGGACAAAGTGGATACTTGCATATGTGTTGAATGAATGAATAAATAAATGAACATGAGGCCATGGGCTAGGTGCTGGGGGTCAAGGAGAGAGAAGTAGGACAATCTCTTTCAGTCTACAGGGGAGACAGTCAGGTCTCAGGTGGTAGCTGCACAGTGAGGGTGGGAGTCCCGGAAGGGCTATGGCAGGCTATGTGTGTGTTGCCTTGTGTCTTGGGGGTGCAGAGGGCTGCATAGCCACTAGGAGGTGCAGGGGAGCCTCAGGCTACATGCGGAAGGACTAAGAGAAGCTCAAGAAGGCAGAGGGAACCCTAGCATATGTAAGCATCATGGGTAAAACCTGCAGCTGGCAAACATACCATGTGGCAGAAGTAAGTGTTTCATGTGACAATGTGGAAGGAAGGGCTGGAGAGATAAGTAGTTTCTACGCATGTACAGTCAGAGGAGCTGGTGCTAAGCAATGGAGTCTGAAATCTATCCTGAAACTTCTGGTCGCCTACTGATGGATTCTAAGCAGGGGAGGGATAGAATATTTTTTTGTTATCTGGTAGCATGGAGGAGGGCCCAGCTGCAGCCAGGAAGATGTGCTGGAAGGCCGGACAAAGACACAGGCCTGGTGCAAAGCCTTGCTGGAGTAAGTCCGGGTGGAGGCAATGGAGAAAATAAAAGATGGGAACAAAGTTAAGGAGGAGCTGGCCCAGGGACCTAAGATGAAGGACTGAGACAGCCACTGGAGGAGAGAAAAGAATCTAGAACAGGTCAGAGTTTTCTCTGAGCTGGTGCCCTTTGGGAAGTTGGTGGGGAGCAGCTTTGGGCAGTGAGCTGGTTGAGATGATATTTTTTTTTAACATGGTGAACCGAAGGTTTCTGGACACTTCCACGTAGAGGAGATGTCTAGTAAGTGGCTGGCATTTAGGACAGAGGCCTGGGCTGACACAGGGATAATGGCTTTTAGAAAGTACCCAGAGCCCAGTCTCACCCTCCAGTTCTTCCATGGGACCTGGGACTGGGTAACTTCCAAGCAGTGTCTATTGAAGGAGCAGATGGATTAATGGCTGCATGAGGGATGAACGCATGGTGCACTGTGGCTGCAGGTCATCACTCATCAGCCCTCATGGAGTCATGCCCTTGGGATGAGCTGGACATGGATTGTCTTGAGAAGTTCATTTTTTTTTTTTTTTGTGAGGATTTCTCCTCCCTCAGATATTGTAGTTTTCAGCAGTGGTTTCTGATTGCGAAGCATTAAAGCAAGTTTCATCAACTCTGTCTCCCAGCATTCCATCTCTCCTTCTGTTTCTGACTCTCACTCTCGTTCTCTCTGTCCCATCCCATGTCATCCCCCCCACCCCAAGTTTGTGTCAGTCCACTGGGTCCTGGGCTGGAGAAAACAGGGGATATAACTTATCATCCAAGACAGGAATTTGTGAGAGTGAGAAGAGACTCTGTAAAAGTTACACCAGGATGATGGGTGTGAGCCTGGACTGTCCTAGGGAAACAGATGTGTGGGCAACTTAGGTTGAGTGGGCCTGTGAAGTCTCCAGGACCTGGTGGCCACACAGCACTCCTCTTGCTGGCCATGTCACATTCTGTGCACTCAGGGCATGTAACCAGCTTGAGTGGGTTTTGGAAATGTGTGGTGGAATTGGAGATATTTCAGGTTGAGAGACCAGAGATGCCATATGTCCCATTTCTCTCTCTCTCTCTCTCTCTCTCTCACACACACACACACACACACACACACACACACATATTCACACATACCCAGACCCACATTAGCTGAAGTTGTCGCATTCCTTTTTATAGAAGAAACGTGCCGAACAGCTCCCAGTGCCCCCAAATCCACTGATGCGGGAGAGTGGAGTTCCGTGCTGGACCCCTCTTCACACCCCTCCCTTCCCTTCACCCTAAGAGGCTTTCACCCTGGGGCAGCTCTGTGTTCTTCTAGCCCTAGGGGGGTTGGCACAATCACAGGTTCTCCTGAGCATGCAGCTGTAGCACCTGGCCAGGAGGGTGTCCCAGTCCCCACTGACCCAAGGGCAGCACTCGGATGACTGTGGGTTGGGCGCTGAGTCAGCCTCTCCCACCGTGGAATCAGGGTGGACTGGCCATAATAAGAGTTTTCACACAGGGCTCTTGGAGGACATGAGGAGGCTAGATTGAGTCTGGAAGGGCAAGAAGGATTGACTCCCTAGAACCTTTGTTGCCTTTGTGGGTCCAGGTAGCCTCTGTGGTGAGGAGTGCAGGAGGAGTCACTTTTGAATGGGTGGGCTGTGTTGGCCATGGCGAAGACTCTGGCACCACATGGCCTCAGGGGCCCTCTGTTGGGTGCTTAGGTACCCAGGCGGAGGACACAGGCTGCTGTGGCCAGCTCAGGCCCTGTGGTTAGGAATATTGAAACGTGTGGGGATTCTAGCCCAGTGACCTTCTCACCACAGGGAGGGCTCTAAAGTGCTGGAGCTCCACCCAGCACAGGGACGCTACCTTGACCATCCGAACTCCTGGCACACATTGACGGGGACTTTGAGTTAAGGCACTTTGCTTTGCAAATCACCAGACCTTGAACCAGACCATGCTTCAGGGACATCTTAGCTGTGGACTTGACATAGAATGAAATTCCACAAAACCTGATCCTTAATCTTGTTGTATGTGTGTGCACGCATATGTGTGTGTGTGCATGTAGTGCCTATGTATATGTGTGTGTATATGCGTGTAGTCACTCATGATGGACTCTGACACACATACGTCTGTGTGGGAAGATGCTGCTGTGAGCAATACAACACAGACCCATTTGAAAACACTGCTGAATGAGCAGTTACTGTGCTTTTTATGTTCTTTTGCATGATCATCTAAGAAGAGCATCTCTGATATATGTGTTTTTTGGAAGTTCTGGGTTATTTTGAGCCATCAGGGCTATAGAAGGCATTTTTCATAATCCAGGAAAGATGGCTCCAATAGTTATTCAACAATGAACTTTTTGAAAGCAAAGTTCATGAAAAAACATGAAGGGATGCTAGAGGAAGCAGGTGGGTGAGGGAGGCAAGAAATAAAGGCCAGGAGAGAGCAGGGCTGGGAAGCAATGGCTGGATGGGAGTTCATGCCCCTGATAATACATTGCCCTCACCACGTGCAGGGAGCTGTTCTTGGCAGGTATCGTAACAGAGCTCCTCTGCAAATAGAGGGACTTTCAGAGAGAAGCAGGATTCGAGTTTCCAAAACTAACACTAGATGGAGTCAGGCTGAGTCATGAGGCAGTCAGACCCAGAAGAGCAAGCTAATGACAAGCAAGCCACTCTCCTTCAGCAAGCTTTGCACTGTCTTTCTGTCATCTAAGGCTTAGGCAATAAACATACTTTTATTTTCTTTTGCAGGAGAAACCACAATTTCTTCGAAAGGTGAGTTGTAAGAGTGATCACTTGTCTTAAAATGAGGACAGGCAGTCTCTGCCCTGTGGGGCTGCATGGGTTTTTGGCAAGGCCTCTCCCTCACCCTGGCCACGCGGGAGGGGCAATGATGGCCATGGCCAGGAGCCCTCATGCCAGGACAGCTGTGAGACCAGGAATCAGCATCACCTTGGGACGTGCTGGTACTTGGCAAGATTTAAAGTGAAGCTGTGGGGCATTTGCCCAGTTAGAGCTGAGAAAACAGAGTTTTAACAGGATAGGTAAGCTGTTTTTCATTCTCCAAGACCCATCCTATGATAGTGTCCAATCTAATAATTAGCCAATTTAGTCCATTTGGTGAAAAAAATTCCCAGACATCTCTTCGTGTCATTATGCTATCAGTTTGGCTGGGTATTTGCATCTCAGTGCTGCTTTGGGGTCTCGGAGTGGACGAAGCCCGTATGTGGAGGGCCAGTCTGCAGAAGGGGACAGGATCTTGGACCCCTGATTGAATGAGCCTATGAATGAAGACTCCTAGGAATGAAGGCATCTTCACCAGGGTTTTGAGAATCATTATTTCACAATCCACCTTCCCCAGCTTTTTCCTCACTTCCTGCGCCATGAATGTGCCAAACCCACTGAGAATTTGCTCCCTGTCTGACCAGTCCAGGATGGTCACACAGTCCTGGGGCGATCTCTTGATCTTTCTCTCACTCTCCTGCTTTATGAAAAAATTTCAAATCCAAAGAAAAGTTGAAAGAACGGGACAATCAAAATATATACACCGTTCACCTAGGGTCACTCATTGACATGGTGCCCCCTTTGCTTTATCTCTGTGAACATAAGCATTTTTGACTGATCTACTTGCAAATTAGTATAGATACCATGATATTTCACCCCTGAATACAGCACCATTGTGTCTCCTATTGTGTGTAATCACAATACAATGACCACTCCTAAGAAAATTAATGCTAATTTAATATCATCTATTATATAGTCCATATTTAAATTTCTCTGGTTATTTCAGAAGTATCTTTTATTGCTCTATTTTTTTGTGCTATTTTCCAATCCAGAAAAAATATTTGTATTTATTTTATCTTTTTTAAAGTCTCTTTCAGTGTTGAACAGCCCCTCTGCTTTTTATCTTTATGACATTGTTGATTGAGAAGTCCCTAAACCCCGTTGTCTTACACAATGTCCCATTTTCTGGATTTGTCTGATTGTTTTCTCCTGAGTGGATACAGATTGAAGTTTTTGGTCGGAAATACCACAAGGTGATGTTGTGTACATTTCATTGTATTGCATCACTGTTGGTGATGCTTCGTTTGCTTGGTTAAGGGAGTGACCCCTAGATTTCTATATTTGTGGAAATTAGAATTTTCCCCTCTGAAATGAATGAATAATACAAAGAGAGGCACTTTGACACTATGTGAATATCCCGACCCCCAACAATTCCTCACCTAATGATTTTAGTCTATTCATGATCCTGCTTGAAGCAGTTATTGCCATTGGTGATTACAAAATATTGACTTTCTGATTCCAGCATTTCTTCTGTATCTAATAGCTGGCATTCATCTAGAAGAAAGCCTTTTATTCTATCTCCCCTTTCTCCTTTTTCTTTTGTTGAGGATTATTACTGTGAACTTCAATGCATTTTAATCCATTACCATCATGATTCTTTCTGATGCCCAAATTGTTGCAAATTTGGCTCGTGCAAGTCACTTCTTGGGGGCCCCTGTGTCCTTCAGACAGAACCTCATTAGTCTTTGAGCACATGCTAGACTTCTGACAACACAACATCTGAGACTCACCTTGTCTTGTTCCCAAGAGTAGCACAAAGGTCTAATTTTCCCAAGGGTCCCTGTTTCTTTCTCTTTCTCTCTCTCTCTCTCTTATTTTATTTTATTTTAATTTTTACTATGGAATGATTTTTAGAAACTAAGATCTGGGCACAATGTGTGCTCAGGGCTACTGAGGTGTCATTGATTCTAGGCCCTTTCAATGGACAGAGTCAGGAAATGTGCATTTAAATTACAAACTCAGTATCATAAGATTTTTTCTAAGCTTTCCTTATTCCATATGTCTAGATTGCCTTCTCCAAAGTAAAAACCCTGCTTTTCAACCACATAATATTTTTACTCATTTTCTCTATTCTATAATACACACAAAATACCTCCAGAAATTAGAGCACTATACAGCTGTAGACCTGCTCTGTAAACTTGCACATTTCTTTGCAATGGCTTTAGCCCTCTAGGTATGTACAGCCAGAGTATTGTGTTCAAATGAAATTAATTATATTCTCTGTGTGGTTATGTTATCAATTGGATAGAGAGTCAGAAACATTTGTTTTAGTGTGTATTCTATTTTACTATTTCCTGTTTTAATCTTTTAAAATTTTAATTTACATAGTTTTGTAAACAGAGATACATGTGTGTCATGTACACGATTCAGAGATAAACTATATAAACAGATAAACTCGGAGAAGTGTTTCTTTTGTAACTTCACTCCACCGTGTTCCTACCTACTGCTTTGAAGTTGCCATTTTCAATAATTCCTGGTTTATTCTTTCTGTGATACTGTTACAAAAATATATTTAATTAAAAACACTTTTATATAGACACACATTTTTAAAAATAAAATTAGAAAATGTTTACATATAGATGTATACATCTGGGCATATATACTTTTTCCAGCACTTGGATGGTTTTATTACTTACTCAGATGTCTGATCCACTTGGCATTTATTCTGGTGTGTGGTGTGAGTTACAGATCCAATTTTGTTTTTTTCCCAAATGGCAATTGATTTATTCCAATACTATTTTTTAAAACCACCCTATTTCACCCGTGTTTCATTTGCCACTTTTATAATGTTCTAAATTTCTGTATGTACTAGGGTATTTCTAGACTTTATTCTCCATTGGCATTTGTGGTTATTCATGTGCTGAGGGCTTCCTAGAGAGGCTGAGCCTAGAGAGGCTTCCGGATGTGCTCTACCTTCTGATGGGGCTGGTTCCCTCCACCTGCACACATTATGCTTCCTTTGCAGGGGACATTCTTGCTAGTTTATTCCAGCTATTTTTGCATATTTATTTTTCTGTATGAACTTCGGAATCAACTTCAGAATCTTTCCACAGAAACAGAAATCTTTCATGGTGTGGGGGCTGGGGGAGGTCCCAGTCGAGAGTTTTATGACGATTGCTTTGTGTTTTTGGCTACCGGGTTTTTGTATAGACCAAAGCAAATAAAGTAAAAATAACACACAGAAAAAAAGAAGCAAACATCTTGGTATTTAGATTGGGATTGCATTACATTTACATATTGAGTTAACAACGATTTACTTCTTTACGATGTTAAGTGGTTCTCCACGGAAAAGAGGTAATTTTTTTCATAAAAAGTTATCTGATTTTGTGTGTTACTGTTTTGTGTGTTTCAGGAGAGTTTTCAGATTTTACTCTTATAAGATGGTCATATATTTTGTTATATTTATTCATAAGTATTTTGCCTTTGCTGCTTTCAAAATAGAGTTTTTGTCATGATGTCGCCTACCAGGTCTTTGATTGTATTTTGATTTTGGGGGATTATGTTAACATTATAGGAGTTGCCTTGTTGTCTGCCAAATCCAAGGCAAACAAAACTTCATCCACTTTGATGATAAAAAGAGAAGTCATTCCTCGAGGTTAATAGGCATATTTTGGGAAACTTGTCGCTTTCTGTAGTTGGTGAATTTGCACAGATCTGTACAGATCTGGGCAGATGCTAAAAGGAACAAGGTAGATAGACCTATGAGAATGGAACTGGAAAATAATGCCTTCACATCTGAACTACAAGCTGTTACAGAGGGTGAGAATGCTTGTTGAATTCTTTTATTATTTTTCTCTGTTTTCTCCTCTGTCCCTTGAGTTTTTACGATATTATGTCATCTGCCAAAATATAGTTCTTCTTTCCCAATTGCTATGCCTCTAATTGTTTTCTCCTCTCCAATTGCATTGACTAAAAACACCAATGTTAAATAATACTGGGAAAATTGTGCATACAACATGCCTCTGACAGACTTTGATGGGAAATCCACTAGTGGTGTCCATCAAGTAAGATGCTGGCTCTAGGGCTGAAGCACACATATCTTATCATGTTGAGGAGCATTCATCAGTTCCTATTTTACTGAGTTTTAAAAATCAGAAATGTGTGTTGGATTTTGCTAAAGATTTTTTTCAGTATTAGCAGGCATAAATGTATCCTAAAGAGATGAACCCTGGGGCTAACCAGAATGTATAGGCACCCTCATTATTAGTTTCACTTTTGTTGTTTTTTTTGTTCTTCTCTCCTTGTTGGTCTATGTGATTCTTGGAGGATGTGGTCAAAGATTTGGGTCTGTAGCCACTAAATTGTAGGGTATGCAACACTCTTGCTCTTTCTCATGATGCCAGCCTGGAGTACCATGCAGCCTAATTCACCTACTAGTCCAGCCAGCAGATGCTACCCCAGACTCTGCCAGCCTTACCTTGTTTTCTCCAGATTGTGCCTGGCTCTCTGGTGGCTGGTGACACACCCATCTGCAGAGGTATCGCTACCTGTCAGAGAGCAACTTCATCCATGAGGTAGCTCAGCAGTGTCCCTTCTTCTGTTCAGGGCAGCCAGGGGTGGGAGGAGGCTGCTCTCTTGGGCTGCCTTTCCACTCTGAGTATTGGTATCTCAAGTGCGAACCTGGCTAACCCCAGCTTCTTTAGATCCCTTCCTTATCAACACCTGATGGGGCCTTTTAATGCAGGGCTTGTTAAAGACAGTAGGAAGGATGAACCCTCTGCTCAGCCTCTGGTCCTCTAAACCCCATGTTCCTCTGGACCTTCCATCTTTTAAAGGAGAGAGAAAACCCTGACGGCCTTTGAGGCCCTTGCATGGAATCCCTTCCTTTACTTTCCTCGCCACTTCCTCTTACCATATCTTGCTGGTTTCCAGTGTCTTTCTTGTCTTTAATGTTGGTTCTACTACCATCAAGCTCTATATCCCTGACCATGACATGTGTCCTTGGTCCTCAAATAGGGGGTAGTCAAGTTTTTGTCTGTTTTGTCTGTCTGTTTTATGGCCTTTGATGTGGCTTGTCCCACATCTATCCCGCCTTCCTGCTGTTGCTGCCCCATCTCTCATGGGGGGATCTTAGCTGTCAGGAGATTGTGACTGAATATGCACAATGGAAAGTCATAAACAATTTCGCATCATTCAATGTAAACATATATACCATTATATTATATTCCAGATGTCTATGTGAAACTACAGTGAGGGTGTGAATTTGGTCTTAAGGCATGGAGGTATAAGTGAGTTCCTTAGAAGGGTCTGCGTCCTACTTTCAGCCCAAGTTCTGTTGTATCAGAGTCTGGTTTACATCTTCACTTCCATGTTCCTCTTTTTAGACACCTGTGCTGTCCTTCCCTTCCATCAAAGCTGGTACACCAAGTATGGAGAAGTCTCACCCTCTGTAACAGCTTGCAGTTCAGATGTGAAGGCATTATTTTCCAGTTCCATTCTCATAGGTCTATCTACCTTGTTTCTGGTAGCATCTGCCCAGATCTATGCAAATTCACCAACTACAGAAAGCGACAAGTTTCCCAAAATATGCCTATTAACCTCGAGGAATGATTTCTCTTTTTGTCGTCAAAGTAGATGAAGTTTTGTTTGCCTTGGGTTTGGCAGGCAGAAAACAACTTCCAGGTTGAGCTCTCCCCTTTACCCAGAAGCCACTGGCCTTCAGGTTCCTTTCTATGTTGCACAAGGAAGTGTTCCACCTTGCAGGCTTTGCTGATGAGCTTTTTTACCTGTTTAATTGTGTGAGTTGCATGAACACATGCAATAATTAGAGCATAGTTGCCCTGTCAATAAGTCTTCCAGGTGGTTCTCTTCCTTTCCAGAGATGCACAGGTGATTGAGCTGTAGGTGAGCAGTGATGTGAAGAGGGATTCTAGCTCTGTGGACAGCGGCCCACGGTTAACGTCTCAGGATGTTCTGCATTCGAAAACCCAAGGCTGGTAATGAACTTTCACATGGACTGAATATTGGAGGTAAATAATAGAAGGAATAGACTATACAGTGCCTCTGTCCTGAAGGAAACTATCACGCCTCTTCTGGAAGAAGCGGACTGCACAGAGGAAGCCTTGAGCGCTTTAGCCTGCAGTAGGAAAAGGTGGACACCAAAAACTTCACCCTGTGTTGGAGCTATTCATGCTTCCACGAGGGCATGGTGTCCATGTCCGTGAAACCTACTACAGAAAATGGCTCATGAAAAGGGGAATCGGACCCAACACACAGCTTCCTATGCACTGCCATCTTCTCATCAGTTAGGCAATACTTTGTAGAACGATTAGCTTCACCTCTTAGCTGCCAGAAGATCCCTTCTTAAAGGTGAACTCTGTGAAGATTCGGGAGTCCTGAAACATGGGGTCTCCGGGATGGTCTCCAGCCCTATCGATGATGAACACTGGCCTTCTGGAGGGGAAATGGCAGGCTGGGCTGGTGTGGGAGGAAGGGCTTTGGCATTCATGGAATGGGCCTGCTGCTCTCAGACCTTCAAAGGACGGAACCAACAAAGGACCAAATAAGAAAGCAGATACTGTGCCTTGTAGAGGGCCATGAATGTCAGTTATTATTTTTTCTCCTTATATAAATTATTTTGTGATTATTATTACAATGTGCATGGCTGTTGCATAAAAGACATGACTGGTGGAGGCTCAGGAAAGCCACGTCATTCTACAATTGCCATCAGGCTAAGGCCCCATGAGCATTTCTCTCCCTTGTAATATTAACCCTGTGTTTCTGGGATCACATCACGGAATTTTCTTTGCTTTTCCACTTTCCAGGAAATCTTTTGGACTGGGCTGCCTTCTTCATGTGTGATGAAAGATGAGCTGTATTTCAGAACAAAGTGCTGTGTTGTCATAATTTGCCTGACTCCCAGGGCGTCTCTTATGCAACTTGATAACGATGCTGTTCATTAGCAGCCTTTGTTAACTGATAACCAAGAGTGGTAACGTGATACTCATAAGCAATTTTCTGTGTGTAAGATAAAATAAACCATCTTGTATGGGATCTGCTAATTGATTTGCTTCCTTTAGCAGCATTTTAATTAAGACATCTGGTTTGTGAATGGCAGAAACACTTGTGAACTGAAGGTGAATGCTCCTGGACTCTCAACCATCGTTTTACCTTCTGTACATACAGCAAAACCTTGGTGTTCTCTCCCCAACCCCACCTCATGACATATTTTCCTAACACCACCACTGCACTCTGGTTTGGTTTTAGCCCCACACAAAGTTTCCCAAGTGAAGAACAGAGAGAATTATGCTGAAGGCCAGCGTCCTCTCCTTGGGTCATAAAGGCCGACATCATATGGGAGGCCAATGGGCAGGAGGCCCTGACATTGAGGTCTCCCTGGCTTACACTCCAAACCCAAGCTTAATATCTTCCTTCTAGATGGCCTTCTAGTCCTATTGGAAGCTCTCTGAAGCCCCCCTCGACAGCTCCTCTCCATAAGAGCAACTCCTGGGGACACAGGGTCCAATGGGCAGTAGCTCTTGGAAGTGACTGAAAGGAGTCCTAACAAGCCATTGGGTCTGCAGTGTAGCTTCTTGAGTCAGGGCCATTCCAGCATGGTTGCCTCACCCCATGGTTTGACAGTATGCTAGCAGAGGCCAGAGTCTGGGCTAAGCCCCATCCTCCCATCCTTCCAGCCTTGTAAGTTCTGGGACCCCAGGACACATACAGCTTCCCCCACCACAGCCCGCCAAGCATGGAGAACATCAGACCCAAATGGAAGGGGACAAATGGTTCTCAGATGTCAGGAGGAAGAGTCATCCTGCACAGGAAAGCAGGTCACAGATGGCTGCAGCCAGCCAGGATCTAATGAAGTGGCAGTGGTTTGGGGCCTCCAGGATTCAGTATGGGAAGGAGGGGAAGGTGAGATGGGAGAGGGTTAACTGGCAAGGTCAACAAATTAAAAAACATCTATATATGTATCAGTCTATATATCTGTAAATTAAACGTGTTTACATTGAATCTATACAAATTAATACATAAACAATTAAATATGTGTATGTATGGGTGTCCTCCTCTGTGTGTTAAAAGTACACATATCATGCAATTTTAGGAAATAAATGCAGGTTTGGAGGAATTAATAAAACTCCTTTCTAAGCCGGCAGGGTTGCTTAGACAGAGGGAAGCTGAGCTGAACAGAACCTGAAGATGCAACCTTTTCATCATCAAAGTTGGGAAACAGCTGAGAGGCAGATGAGCTAGGCAGTTGGAAATAAAAATATCACTGCTATTGTGATTTTCAAATGAGTCACGGCATGCCAGCATCCCTCTGCATCCTCTAGAGTCCCTGCAGCATCCATGCTGCAGTCCAAGCAGGAAGTGAGCAGGGCCCAGGTAAAGTGCTGGCAGCAAAGAGGCAGAGAATTGGGGGTGGGGGTGGGGGTTGGGATAGACCTTAGGGGAAGAGATGCCAAGACTTCGGTGGATCAATCTGTAAGGGAGGCAGAGGGAGTTCAGCACAACCCTAGGTTCGGGAGTCATTGGCTAGGATGTGGAGAGCCTGAGGAGCAACGGCCTTAGAGAGCTCTGCAACTGGGTCTTGGGTCTCCTAGGCTACTGGGGAGGCAAGGATGGGCTGCATTTGGAGAGAGTGAATTTCACCTTTCTACAGGTGTACAAACCTGCAAATTGGGGTTAAAAGCATGTGTCAACGATTATTCTAGAACGTGCTCTGGGATTTATGAGAGAAGATGGGGAGAGCCAGCTTGGAGGCTCCTTTCCCCTGAGATGGAGTGTGCAGGTTGGCTGCTTAGACAGAGAGAGGCTGAACTGGGCAGACCCGAAGATGCAGGCAGAAGGGGTAGTGGCCTGTGATAGGAAGTCCATACAGGGCCAGGTCCAGGCTATGACTGATTCTTTCCGTTCTAAGTCATTTGTCTTAATCTCAGATTTGTCAAATTAATTAATCATCCTTCAAAGAATATGATTTTTTATGAGTACATTATCATCAGATGACAAATAAGTGGCACATCTCCCAGGCTGTGTATACAGATGCGGAGAAGTCACTCAGGCCTTGAATGTCCCAGCCCCCCTTAGCAGCATATCCTATGTCCCAGTGTTCACGGTCCTGGAATTTTAATGGACTCATGACTGTCTCTTCATTTGTGGCTCCGCTCTGTGCAGTACAGAGCAGTGGTAGACTACATGAGCTGTGTAACAAAATGCTGCTTTCTGAGCTGGATAAATTATTTAATGGTGCTATGCCTCAGTTTCTACATCTGTACAATAGGCTAATGGTTGTACCTGCTCCTATTTTTTGTGAGAATTAAATGAGTAATGTGTGTAAAGTTCTTAGCACACTGGCATGTAGTCAGCACTTGGTAAACATGAGCTATTACTTCTCATCGGTTTCAGGCAACTTTTACACAATTCCAAAATTCAAAGAAGGTGAGATTATGGAAGTTTTTGTTTCATTCTTAATTTACATATGTATATGTATAGTTTTTTGTTTGTTTGTTTTGAGACAGGGTCTCAGTCTGTCACCTGGCTGGAGTTCTTTTTCACAATCACGATTCACTGCACCCTTGACCTCCCCGGGCTCAGGTGATCCTCCCACTTCATCCATCTGACTCACTGAGACTACAGCCGTGTGCCACTAATTTTTGTATGTGTTGTAGAAACAGGGTTTTATCATGTGGCGTAGGCTGGTCTCGAACTCCTGTGCTCAAGCAACCCTCCTGTCCCAACCTCCCAAAGTGCTGGGATTACAGGCATGAGCCACTGTGCTCAGCCTCGTTATATATTTTTAAATAAAGTTTTTATTTTAGAACAGTTTTAAACTCATCCAAAGGTTGAGAGCATAGTTGAGAGAGTTCTTGAATGCTCCACACCTGGCCTCCCCTGTTATTAACATCTTTCATTGGTATGGCACACTTGTCACAATTTAATGAGCCAATATTGATACATTATTATTGACTAAAATCTACACATTATTTGCATTTCCTGTTTTTATCTAGTATCCTTTTTCTGGTCTAAGACCCCATCCAGACCACCGCATGACATTTAGTCACAGCGTCGCTTTAGGCTCCTCTTGATTGTGAAAATCTCTGAAACTTTCCTTGATTTTGACGACCTTGACAGTTTTGAAGAACTCTGGTCAGGCATTTTGTAGATTGGTCCTCACTAAAGTCTGTCTATTTTTCTCATGAAGATAAATTTCTTTTAAGCTAAGTTTAACATAAAATTGATTGTAATTATACAAACACCAAGTGTTCACCAATCTTTATTGTTGCTCATAAAATTAGCCAGATAGCTGGCAAATCCCACTTAAGTTTGAACTGGGTAGGCTCAGTAAAGAGGAAAACTTTTGCTGTGTAAATAATGCAAAGCAGATGTTTCTAATGAGTGAGGGGCTGCTTTGGTTAGCATCACGCAATTACCATGTGCTTTAGGTAGCAACACAGTCTGGGCGAGCACCTGGGGCTCCGTGCAAGGCAGGGTAGATTGGACACTGCTGTCTTTCCTTATCAAGAGATCACCAGTTGCCTGTGCTCACTCTGCAGATAGGAGCTCCTGGTAGCGTGCTCTGAGCTCTCAAGAGAGGTGGATCAGAGCTGCTCATTATTTATCTTAGCAAAAAAGGAACCATAAGGAAGCTTTTACAATGTGGTTCTGATCTTTATCCTGTTTCCTGAGTTTAATTTAGGAGATGGCAACAAATTGTGAGTCAAGCACAACTGCTGACTGGCAGAAAAGAAATTGAAACCAGGTCCAAGAATCACCCCAAACATGTTCTGATGGGGTATTTGCAGCCAGCAGCAAGCGCTCTGCTATCGACTCACTCCGAGGGGCAGTATTTTGTGGACTTCTTCCCACAGCATCCAGAGGATGGGGCTGTGGATGGTGCTCCTATCCCCTCCGTCAGCCTTCTGAGGTCTGCTCTCATTGATGGCTCCTGCTCCTCCTGTCAGGCCTTGACCTGGGGTCCTTCTGTCTGGATGGAAGTGGCACTGACGAACGTAAAGAAACGGTCGGTCTCAAAACGAAAATAAGACACAATGGAACAGGAGAAAACCTTCTCAGAGGATGGCGGCAAGCACCTGTTATACCCTACGGATACTTTACTCATGTAAATTATATCTGCACTCGTAGCCTAGCTTTTGTAGACACAGCTGCATGCATTCTACCAACCCACCATGATGGTCAGTGTGCCCCTTTGTGGATGGAATCGTTCCTTCTCACAGTTAAGAGTGTGGACTGTAATCCAGCTGGCTAAGGTCTAATTCCTCCTGGCCTATTGCTTACTATCTGTGCGTGACCCCTGACATGTGACTCAACTTCATCTTTGTTTTCTTATTTGTAATGACGATGATGGCCCTAGAGGGTTGCTATGACCTCCCAAACAGTTATTGCACATGAAACACTTGGAGTAGTGTCCAAAATGTGTAGGTGCTCTATAAATGTTCCCTCTTCTAAAGTACGGTATGAGACACTGTGGGAAAAAACACAGAAGACATAGATGTGGCCTTAACAGAGGAAAGCACAGGCAAACAGTGTAAGTGAGTGCTGCTTTTGAAGTGTGAACAGGGTGCTGTTTGATCCCAGGAAAAAGAGAAAATCACAGTGGCCAGCAGAGCAACATCTCTGTCTGGACACAAAGGAGTTCGTTGGTCAGAAAAGCAGACAGGGCATCTGGCACCTGGCAGGGTGTCTGGCACCTGGCATGACAATGCCTGGAGGCATGAAATCATGTGGCAAGCCGGGATGGGTAAGGACATTGCTGTGTGCAGTGCTGCGGCTGAGTAGAAGGAGGGTCAGGAAGTCTATGGGGACAAAGAAGGTGCTCACGTGTTCAGTCATTTGGTTGTCTGGATTTTGTGAAATCAGTTTTCTCTTTCACAAAGCGAGTTGCAGAAAGACAATAGGCAATTCTGTGAAATGGAAGTTGTGAGATGTGGAGGGAAGATCCAGGAGTTCTAGTGCTCATTTAATAGGTGTTCTAGGAGGAGGGAGCAGACAGAGCAAAAAAAGGACAGATCAGACGAGAGAACACAATTTACCAGAGCTGC